AGATGAAGGAAAAGTATTGAAGGACCCAATAAAATATCGACAACTAGTAGGAAGCTTGATATACCTTACTATTACGAGACCAGAGATATCTTACTCCGTTGGTATCATCTCCCAGTTCATGCAAGATCCAAGAGTTCCTCACCTGGAAGCCGCAAAGAGAATTTTGCGCTATATAAAAGGGACCCTTGAGCACGGACTTGTGTACAAGAAAGGTGCTAGTCTTATATTGAATGGGTTTACTGATGCAGATTGGGCAGGGGACGCGAATGACAGACACTCAACCTCTGGTTATTGCTTTAATGTTGGGTCCGCAGTAGTGTCGTGGTGTAGTAAGAAGCAAGACATCGTTGCTTTATCGAGTACTGAAGCAGAGTATGTGGCAGCAACCATGGCTGCCCAGGAGGGTGTTTGGTTAAAGAGACTGATTAAGGACATTTTACTTGAAGATAACTATGCAGTGGAGATCAAATGTGACAATGAAAGTGCCATCAAACTTGCACTAAACCCGGTCTTTCATGCTAGAACGAAACACATTGAGGTTCGCCACCACTTCATACGTGAGAAAGTTTTAAGCGAGGAGATAGAGCTGATCGGTGTTCGAACAGATGCACAGGTGGCAGACATATTTACCAAAGCCCTGGTAAAGCCCAAGTTTCGAAATCTTCGGAAGGCCCTTGGAATAGCAGATAGGAAGTTTGTACTAAGGGGGAGTGTCAGAACTTAGCACAAACTGAAGTCACGTGATAGCCGCTTCAACAATCGGTTCCTTGTTTCTTGGGATTTTTCCTTTAGTTTTATCAGTCTTATTTTCCTTTTACTTGGTCAATAAATCAGTTCCGCTTGTTTTGCTATTTTAAATTTATTCAGAATAATGGGGGGTGCTAGCGAGATCTTTGGAGAGATCATAGGAATTAGTTGATAGCCTTGCTTTATAAAACATAGCCTACTGTACTCAGTTTACATCAGAGAAATAAAAAGGCATAGCATTCCCGATAAAACTCTCATCGTCCTTCTCTTTTACACTCACTCTTTTGTTTCAATCCACGCCTCACCTCTACAATGGTTCTAATTTATGTCTGCCTTCTACCTTTTTTCAATTATACTTTGATTTTGATATCCCTCAGTAGGCTCACAAAACTAAATCTTTTCAGGGGTGTATATGTGAAATTATAATAATCCATGAGCTTTGGTTGATGTCGCCAGGTTAGAGATAAAAAAGGAGTGAAAAGATGGAAACAAGTTGAAGTGGCACTGGAAGATCATATCATCAGACCAGAGTTATTCTCTCCTGACATGTCGATAGAATCATGTACTGAACGTTTCAAAGAGTATGCATCCAGGATAGCAACGGAGCAGCTACCAGGCTCTAAACCATTATGGCAACTTCACATAATCAAAAACCCAGTAAACACTGTCATAATTAAGTTTCACCATTCGCTTGGAGATGGCTACACTCTTATGAGCATCCTTCTCTCTTGCATGAAAAGAGCCGATGATCCCTCTCTCCCTCTGACTTTTCCTTCACTCAAATCATCGAAAGCGAAACTTGCCAACCGAAGTTGTTTGAGGAGATTGCCTAGTTTCGTCTCTACTATCTTCTATTCTGTTGCAGAGTTTGGTTGGAGCTTACTCAAAAGTGATTGGGTTGAAGATGACATATCACCAATAAGGTCTAAAAATGAAGGAGTCGAGTTTCAACTAGCCAACATGCTCAACATCACGTTTTCGCTCCAAGACATCAAGGAAATCAAGTCTAAACTAGGAGTGGTAAGTTCGTTATTAAGCATCAAATTATTTACTGAAGAATTCATCCGTACGCGGTTATTGTGTGCATATATGTATAATTAGTTTGTAACTTTTTGCTGTGTAGACTCTAAATGATGTGATTACTGGAATAATATTCTACGGGATTCGATTATACATGCAAGACATGGACTGTGAGTCGGCGACAAAAAATTGCACCCTATTAACGATGATGAGCACGAGGGACGCTGAAAGGTACAAAACAGCAAAAGATATGCAGGAGAGTACGGGAAAGGGTATGGGGAACCAAGTGATATACTTGCATGCATCGGTTGCCAAATTAAATGACACCCTAATTTCGAATCCTCTTCAATATGTGTGGAAAGCGCATAGCGAAATCAAGAGGAAGAGACGTTCTTTCGCCACTATTCTCATTGGGAAACTTCTTCAGATCCAATATCGATTTAAAGGCCCTGAGGTCAGTTCATGAGGTCAATAAATTATTGTTACTTTGTATTATACTTCCCTGGGATTCTGGATAGTCTTTTTGCTTTTCTTTGCTTTGTTTTACTTCATTATTTTTTGTTTTTAGTTTACCGATATGTTTTACTGGTGGTTTAATGACTTTTAACTTGCGTGCTCTTGTAGGTACTGGCTAAACACTACTATAGGACAATCAGAAATACAAGCTTAATTGTGTCTAACATGGTCGGACCAATAAATAAAATGGCTTTCGAAAATTATCCCGTAAAAAGCTTCTACTTCACCGTGTGTGGCCTGCCTCAGGTATTTCTTCAATCGTGTTCATTCCTTCCACTTGACTCTTCTTAGTTATATAATCTTGGTACAATAAAACAAAAAATTGCTACAGTGTTGAATCGGTAAATTTTTTTTTTTTTGGGGCCCGTGAAGCATATTTTTTATTAAAAGAGGGAAAAATTAATCGGTACTTGTTTTGAAGCAAAGCCTCTCTCTTTTCCCGTTGTTACAGTGTTGTAATTACAATAATGAGCTATAATGGGAAGTTAACAGTGACCACCAGAACGGAAGACGACTTCGGGTCCGTTTGGATGAGTGATTGGAAAAGCAGCTTATAGGAAAAGTAGCTTATGGAAAAGTGAAGTTGGTAAAAGCTAAATTGGATAAGCTGAATTGTGTTTGGATTGGAGTTCAGAAAAGCTAATTTGCAGAAGTGAGATTAGTAAAAAGTTGTTTGGATTATAGTTGAGTAAAAGTGAGTTTGGTTATAAAATGACCAAAATGGGTATAAGTGTTAATAAATAATGAAATATGATTAAAAAATGATTTGACATAATACAATGAAATTAAAATAATTTATTATGAAGAAGTCAAATTAATGAGTGAATTAAATTTTAAAATTTCAAAAAAATCATAACAAATATTTTAAATATAATGTGAAACATGAAAAAAAATGAATTGATATAATACAGTGAATTATTGTTAATTTGATATGAAGAAGTGAAATTGATCGAGGGAATTAAATTTGAAAATATAAGAGAAATGGAAAAAAATTGCAAATATAAAACGAAACATAATTTGAATGGGTAAACATGTTTTTAACTCCAATTTGCAGTATTGCAACAAAGTGAAACTAAATAATATTACATAATTAATCAATAGATAAGCTATGGATAATTTGGTCTCTGATTGCATCACGGACGCGATTCATATGCGATGAAGACTGTGATGTAACATTTGAAGATGATGGTTGAATAGCTTCAGCTTGATCATGTTCGCCCACATTATTACCATTTTCAGCTTGTTCAAAAAACAAGTCGGAGCTCGAATGTCTCCTTATAAGGTTATGAATGATCATTGTTGCACAAACCAGATACACTTGTGTTTGGAAGCCGTAACTGCGCATATTTCGTAGGACTTGAAATCTATTCTTCCAAACACCGAATGTTCTTTCTATTGTGTACCTTAAACTGGAATGATAATAATTAAAGGCTTCGTTACTATTTCGGAATCCTACTTGTCGTCGAAAGTCTGGAAGGTGGTAGCGCTCAGATCTGTATGGACTTAGATATCCATTTGGTGTTGAATATCCCGCATCAACCAAGTAATATTTCCCTAATGATTCATGAAACAATTTGAGAGATTGTGAAATGAATAAAAGTATGAAATAATTAAAAAAACATGCATGATTGGAACACATAAACATATACCTGGAGGTGGATGAGGGAAATTAAGAGATGAATTTGTAATAGCACTATCAAATATATGAGCATCATGTGCAGATCCCTCCCATCCTGCCAAGACAAAAGTGAAACACATATCCCAATCACATACAGCCATGACATTTTGTTATGGATTTCCCTTTCTGCCAATAAATTTGTCTCGTTTTGCAGCGAGGACAACACACTGTATATGAGTGCCATTAATTGCTCCGATTGCGTCCTTAAAAAATGGGTAGTAACGTCGATCGTTCTCAATTTTTCTATGAGTTCCACGAAATGTTGGATCTATGGGTCGAATAAGTTCACTTGATAGGCTAAGACAAGCTTGCAGTACATTGTGAAAGTGCCTACTTACAGTTTCCCCTGATCGTTGAAATCGTTCCTGGATCATCCTATTGCATTGTCCATGTGCAACCGTGTTTAAAAACATCGCAACCATTTCTTCAATTCCTACGTACTTAGACTTTTGTAAACCATATTCCTCCAATTTAGTACATAAGAGGTGGAAAACATCTTTATCCATTCTAAACATTTCATGACATCGATCATCATGCCCATTCATAATGCCTTGTACCCATAAATTTCCTGTCTGCTCACTAGTTCTGCACGGTTGTTTAAACATGTACATTTCACAATAATGGCCAACCAATGCACCTACTGCTTCATATTGTGTTAATTCCTCATTAATTATGGTTGAATGGTCATCTTCATTTGGCCGTAAATCGTTATTCCAATTCCATAAAGTATCTTCATTCCATGGTGAATCATCGTTCCAATTAGCCATTTCTGGAATTAACCCTGTAACTGTGGTGAAAACAAAATGTAAGCATTATAAGGATTACACTAAACAAAGTGTAAATAATTTTCATACTGCAAACAGAAAAACCAAACGCATAGATGACAAGTAGAAATTAGCGTAAATATATTACATAATGATTAATAAAGTTCCTACAACATGCCACATCAGTTTAGGTTAAAACAGCAAGTAGTTCAGGTTAACAAGTGCAATAACAATAGTGAAATAATTAAGTCCTAAACTAAATCCTATTCTGCAGGTCACTTCCATGTGTCTGGGTCTTGTGCTGCCGGTATCAACCACGCCAACAACTTGCTTCTATCATGCATAAACCCCAAATAGGCTCGCCTAGCCCACCTCAACCGCGTAAGCATCTTGGCACATGCATAATATAGTTGATTGTCATCATTAAGCTCCTCAACAGTAGTCAGGTGTGCCAAAACCTTATCAACTACTTGGGGATCTTCAACCAATGCTGCTGCTCGCTTGTCAGAAGCAGCTGCTATGACACTCAGGCTATCAGAAATTAATGTAGATGCAGCAACTTTCTTCTTCTTCTTTGCATATGATGTCTCACCCCTCTTTCTCTTTCCATAGCTTCCTGAGCCACTTGGTCCAGTACTTGCGGGGTTGTTTATGTTGCAAGCAGCGAAGTCATCTGTGAACCCTGCACTGGCTGTTGGGTCCACACCAAAGTTTTCATCCTCACTATCCCCTGACCCTTCTTGTTGGTCTAGCCCACTCTATAAACATCCTCCTCCTCTTCTATGTCAGGCTGTGGAGCAAACGCTGGCTGAGGCTGTGAGGCTGATGGTGCGTACGCATACTCTCTCGAAGCCACAACATCTCTGAATATTTTCATCAGATCTGATGCAAACATCAACCCCTGATGTCTAAATTTCTTAAAATTAGGGTCCACCTACATGAACATAATTAGGCATAATTAAGCGATGTTCCTTCTGATATTCAAAATTAAAACTCAACTAACACAAATAGTTACCAGTATTTTTGTTGCCACCACTCATCAGAGGCCAACACCCTATTTGTGGCTGCATCATAACCAATGCCAGTCTCCCCCGACATCAGTTTTTCCCACAACTTCCAATCTTTTCTCAATACATCAAATCTGTTCTTCAGTTGCCTCCTGTCATACATTTTCCCGCTCCTTTCCCGAAAATTCTTTTCAATTTTCCCCCAACCAGGTCTTGTAAACGATGTTCCTTGTCTTTCTTTGTGCACTATTTGCTTGGCACAAACATCGATTAGAATTTTTGTCGTGTAATAATCCCATGTCGCTTTTCCCCTGTCATTATCCATTTCTCTACGCCCTTTGATCGAGATAAGAGTAACTGAATCAACCAAAGTCCTAAATATGTAATAATAAAAGCTGTATTATATAACACATACGTTGTAACCAAACAAACATATATCACCAAGTAACACATTTTAATTGCATAAGCTGTTTAGTTTTCTTATTCGATATTTTTTAAAATTATAAATATATAATCACAATGTCAATGTCCACTATTTTCCGGTGGTAATTGATTGTGAACATTTTAAAATTAAATTTTCAATATATCATATAAATTGAACCTAAACTGCATTACATTGATTAATTTTTATCCTAATTTAACTGTGTAAGAGTAAAATAAAAACCAAATTAAGAATGATGAACAAGATTATTTACAAAAATATGTTATATTTATCATAATTAACTAATTTACCTAACTTTTTTAATATAATTAAATTAGTTCAATAAATATCATATTAGAGAGAAGTAAGAGAATATAACAGGAGAAAGAACAACATTAAATTTATTTTGATTGAGACTTCCCGAAATTAATTCCAAATGATTTTTAAGTAATTACCCACATAGTCCTTAATTTCTTTGTATAGTACAAATTAATGTCTTATTACTTTGCTCTATCAACGCCGTTAATTAGCTCTATCAAATGAACCATTTGGACACACATATGTACACCATGTTACCACCTCATTCTCTTCTACCCTACCCTCATAGAGATCGAATCCTATAACCATAAAAACCAAGAGACCGAAGCTAAGGACATGCAAAACAACAACCATTGTAATTTTGAAAATTACAATTCCAGAGTTACATATCTCGCCATTAACAACATAGACATATACGCAACAATTTAAATCCCCAACACTGCACACCCAAGCTTTCTGTCATATACACACATTTATGCTCTTCATTTTCTCATTAAGCTAGAGCCGTTTCCTTGAACCATTAATCGTTGTTTCAGCCTTGGAAAACAGAGGAAGAAAATCGATATGCAACTAGAAATTTTATGCTACATTCGGTCCCTGTTTCGGTGTCACAACCAGTCGGTCCTCAACATGCAGCAATCATTAACAAATCCGAATTCAAGCACGATAGGAAATTCAAGGACGACAGGAAATTCAAGGAGGACAACAAATTCAAGGACGACCGGGGATCAAACCGGAAAAGCGACATAACCGGCCAACCTGCAGTAGATCCAACCAAACAAAGGCTGCCAGAGGTAGATCCAACGGTATATTGCACTGGGAAGCCAAGATTTCCACGCACGGCTCAAATGCAGAGGCAGACGGCTGCGACGTCAGTTGCAAACAGTGAGAGCAGCTCCGACTTGTGATGAACGAACGGCATCCACCAAGCCACGGACACCTCACACCCAACAGCTGACCTCACGATGATGACAGGACGGAGCTCACGGTCACCAGTGACAAGCTTCTCAGACTCAACCACCGACGGACGTTCTCGAGTCGAGCAAAGACGGAGCAAGCTGGGAGCTCGGGTTTACAAAAAGAAAAGAGAGTCACGAGGGAATAAAAGAAGGCAGATGTGAAGAGAAAAATAAAAGGAATCCTGTCAGAACGGTCATAAGCCATTTTCCTAGGGGCCAGAAGCTGCCAGGCACCAGCTTATCCCAATCGTGCGTTCAGTGGGTTAAAAAATGATAAGCCCAATTGTTATATTGCTCTGCCAAACGGACCAATTTTTTTCACTGAGCTTATAAGTGATTATAAGCCACGTTTGGGCCAGCAAACGCTGACCCAAACAGGCACTTCATAGATCATCCAAAATTAGCGTCGCACTTGAACGGTGCCTTTGAGATGATACGCAAAGCTGCTTTGGAGATTCCAAGTCATTCCCACCAGCCCTCGAGCCAATTCTAGCTACTATTACAAATCATGGATTTTCATTTGAGAATAAAGATACTATGTTTCTCATGAAAAAGAAGAAGTCGGGGACAATCACCCATGCTGTGATTAGTATCTAAAAAGTTAAGATTGGGGGTAATTATGCAGACCATTCTGGAGCAGAGCAGTCTATCTGTTAATTTCTATTTGTTACTGTTGTGAAATATATGAGAGAAAATAGTTGGGAATGGAACAAAAAGATATTCTATATTTTATCAAGCTTATCAATTCACACAATCTCACGGCATACTTGACTGAAATTAATTTCTATTGTGCCGTTTGCAAATCGAAACGAAAGGAGCAGTTCATCAAAAATCCCCTGGGGCACGTTTTGATTATTACGTCGGCCAAGTTATTTTTCCTCGTGGTGGTTATAAGGATGCATAATTAGGTGGAGTTAGGAATTAAGCCTTAACCTTTTATGGAAACTTAATCAACGACTTCAGCGAGGTTTCAGCTCTAATATATGAAAGCTGCTTCATATTTTGGAATTGCATGGTTTCATAAATTTTTCAAGATCAAGATGAAAAATACAATAAAAAACAATTGTTCAAGACATAATATAAATTGTACATGATAAGCCATTTGAAGCTTTTGTTCTTAGATCTATTTTATTTTATTTGTTTACTTCTTGATATGAATTAATTATTCAAAGTTTTCTTTATTAAATGCTTACAATATCTGTCTCAATATAATTTTGTAGTCCCGTATACATATATTAAAAAATTCAAATTATAAATTCTTTACGAGAATATCCTTTTTAAAATCCAAATTATACTGTATATTTTCTCGAAGGAATATTGATATATAGCTAGCTGAACTCAAGTTTATTATTTCCTTGTCTTTTCACAGTGATATAAATTATGAACATATTTGGTCCAAAAAAAAATATGAACATAAAATAATTATGTTACTCTATATAGACATCAATAATGGTTCTTCATCATGCGTTGCTGTTTGCATGATTTGACAGCTGATTGATTACTTATTTACTTCCCCAACTATGTGGGTCCCTGTGTTTAAGCTAGCCAATGAATTTGCCACACGTTATATTATTTGGACCGATAGTACTAATGATTAAACCTTCGCTTTTAACAGAGAAGTAAATTTTGAGAATTGAAATGTCATTTGAATTGTTAAGATTTTAAAACTTTAATTAATTATTTTTAAATAGAAAAAATTAATTTTTTGAAAAAAATAATAGTTGAGAGATTATATTTTAAACAAATAATAAATAAATAAATAAATCTAAACTATTTAAATAAAATCTATATAATCTAGATCTGATAAACTTAAAATGTTTATTTTTGTGACCAACGATCGATGAGCTGAACTTTCCAAGCCACCGGAGAATATAACCGATTAGCCGATCATTGGAAGGGGAGAGATTACATGTGGGGGTTAAAGAATTTTCGGGCTCAGCTGCCACACAATGCATTACGCTTGGTTAAGAAGAGCCGATATCAAGATTCCACTGCTAGAGGGAAACAAAATTTTATTCGAATAATATATGTGCTAAATGGATGCTTATATAATTTACATTGTCTCGTCTCAGAAATATGTATGTATGATTAACTTTTTTAGGGTTAATAATTAATATCATTATAATTTAATTTCAGTTCCTAAAATTTGAAACCAGTAGTTTTTATTTCAAAAATTTGATTTCCTTTTTTGTCTACTTAAAGATTTTTTTTGTTTCTAAAACATTTTTTTTTGTTCTTAAAAACGATTAAAACGAAAATAAGATTAAATTTTAGAGACTTGGTTTCTTTATTTAATATTTGCTTGCTTTTTTCTTCAAATTCAACAGGCATGGGTAGTGGAGGTGTCTGGGAACTAAATCGGGACATATGCAGATCCTAATCACCTAACGTAGGCTCATTTATTCAATCACAGGCGTAGCCATATCCACCACACCTTGCTATTTATATTTATTTACTCACCCTCCATCTCTCGTTTTCAATTTCTGGTCCACGCATTCTGTTGCTCCGTCCATTCCTTCTCATTAATTACTTAATTAATTCGATCAGGTCGAGAGCCACGCATCATTATAACGAGCATTGAGACCCATATATGTTAATATACACACACATATCATATCCATAAAGCTTGCTTCACACATCTAATAATAATCACACAATTCAATTTGTACGTCATGAAACCGTTTTATTCATTGCTTACATGTTATGGCTTCATAAATAATTTTAAAAAAAAAATTGATACAGAAACTCCCAAGTACATATGCACACAAACCAAACCAATTACTGTTATAAGTTCGATCACGATGCCATATTAGCTTATAGTATTCATCCAAGTACAACATACTCCTTTGGTCCTTAATATAAAACCTAATTGTTAAGTTAATTTTGATCCTAAATATAAGACATGTTTATCATATTTATCAATTTTTTCTAAATTACCCCTATGGATACTTTATTAATCATAATCAAGTAAATGAGGGAGGGAGGATATTAAGAAAGATGATTATGATGTTTTAAGAAAAATATGTCATATTTCTTATAATTAACTAATTTACCTAACTTTCTTAGTATAAACAAATTAGTTAAATAGGTCTTATATTAAGGACCGGAGGAATAGCAAACATGTTTTTGTGTCTTGTCTTCATTACCATGTCAAACATGTTATTGAAATATTCCCTTTTATTGGGCGAAAACCGTGTTATTGGTGTTATGTCAAATATGTACAATAGACGGCAAACATGATTTTTGTTTGTCATTTATTGCCTTGCTACCTCGATAATTACTTTATGTACCCTTTCTTCACATTCAATTCCTGTGGACACACACACACACACACATCCATCTCCAACTATCCGCGGACATGCATATTCGACTCTCTAGCTAGCTTCCAAAGAGACCTCGATTTCTAGATTAAAAGTATTTGGAGGAGCCAGTGAGTCCTGTGGGACAACTATTGGATTGCTCTGATATTTTGTGCTTGTATGTTTTTGCTTTTCTTGAATCTGAAATTCCCATCCACAACACGTCTTATTCACCTGCGGATCTACGCGACTTTCTTGCCAATCCACGCCTGACCTCCATAATGGTTCTAAAAATTGCTTCTACCTTTTACTTTTTAAAAAAATTGTTTTGATCTCTCTCACACTATGCTCACACAACTAGATCTTCTAACTGCTATATATATAAAACTATAATAATCCATGAACTTTGGTTGCCGCCAGGTTAGAGATGAAAAAGGAGTGAAAATATGGAAACAAGTTAAAGTGGTGTTGGAAGATCGTATCATCAGACCAGAGCTATTCTCTCCCGACATGTCCATAGAACCGTGTACTGAACGCTTCAATGAGTATGTATCCAGGATAGCAGCGGAGCAGCTACCGCGTTCCAAACCATTGTGGCAAATTCATGTCATCAAAAATCCAATAAACACTGTCATAGTTAAGTTTCACCATTCGTTTGGAGATGGCTGCACTCTAATGAGCATCCTTCTCTCCTGTATGAAGAGAGCCGATGATCCCTCTCTCCCTCTGACTTTTCCTCCACTCAAATCATCAAAAGTGAAACTTGCCAACCGAACCTGTTTTAGGAGATTCCCTAGTTTTGTCTCCACTATATTTTATTCTGTTGCAGAGTTTGGTTGGAGCTTAGTCGAAAGTAAATATGTTGAAGATGACATATCACCGATAAGGTCCAAAAATGAAGGAATCGAGTTTCGACAGGCCACCACAGTCAACATCACATTTTCGCTCGAACACATCAAAGAAATCAAGTCCAAGCTGGGAGTGGTGAGTTCGAAAGCATCTGTTATGAGTCCCACATTGGGGAATCTCACAAGTGTTGTGGGGTTTATAAGTTCAAGGGGCTCTCCCTCCCAATAGGCTAGTCTTTTGGGATTGGGCTCTCCCCTTGGGCTTATGCTCATCACATTGGTGTTTTCGTTGAGAGTTGGCCAACCAGAAAGGACTACCTGCGGAGGGTTCTGACCAGTAAGAAGACCGAGTGAAGTACCGTAGAGTGGAGCCGCCGAGGACGTCGGCTCTCGAGAGGGGTGCTCTGTTATGAGTCCCACATTGGGGAATCTCACAAGTGTTGTGGGGTTTATAAGTTCAAGGGGCTCTCCCTCCCAATAGGCTAGTCTTTTGGGATTGGGCTCTCCCCTTGGACTTATGCTCATCACATTGTCTGTTATGAGTCCCACATTGGGGAATCTCACAAGTGTTGTGGGGTTTATAAGTTCAAGGGGCTCTCCCTCCCAATAGGCTAGTCTTTTGGGATTGGGCTCTCCCCTTGGGTTTATGCTCATCACATTGGTGTTTTCGTTGAGAGTTGGCCAACCGGAAAGGGCTACCTGCGGAGGGTTCTGACCGGTAAGAAGACCGAGTGAAGTATCGTAGAGTGGAGCCGCCGGGGACGTCGGCTCTCGAGAGGGGTGCTCTGTTATGAGTCCCACATTGGGGAATCTCACAAATGTTGTGGGGTTTATAAGTTCAAGGGGCTCTCCCTCCCAATAGGCTAGTCTTTTGGGATTGGGCTCTCCCCTTGGGCTTATGCTCATCACAGCATCAAACCCTATACTGAAAAATATATCAGTATGTGTTTGTGTGCTTGTACGTATAATTAGATTGTAATGTTTTGCTGTGTTGACGGTAAACGATGTGGTTACTGGAATTATATTGTATGGGATTCGATTATACATGCAAGACATTGACGATGAATCGAAGACCAAAAATTGCACCCTATTGACGATGATGAGTACGAGGGCCGTTGAAAGGTACAAAAAAGCAAAAGATATGCAAAAGAGTAGGGGGAAGGGTATTGGGAACCAAGTAATATACTTGCATGCATCGATTCCCAAATTAAATGACACCCTAATTTCGAATCCTCTTCAATTTGTTTGGAAAGCGCATCGCGAGATCAAGAGGAAGAGAAGTTCTTTTGCTATGGTTCTCATTGAGAAGCTTCTTCGGATCCCGTATCAGTTTAAAGGGCCTGAGGTCAGTTGATAAGATCAATAAATTTGGATGTTACTTAGTATGTATCATGCTTGTAACTGAGATTATGGATAGTCTTTTTGCTTTGCTCCATTTTTTGACTCATTATTTTTTGTTTTTAGTTTACCTGAGATATGTTTCATTGGTGGTAATTTGATTAGTTTTGACTCACGTGAGCGCTTGTAGGTAGTGGCTAAACGCTTCTATAGGACAATAAAAAATACAAGCTTAGAGGTGTCCAACATTGTTGGACCAGTAGATCAAATGGCTTTTGAAAATTATCCCGTAAAAAGCTTCTACTTCACCGTGTGTGGCCTACCTCAGGTATTTCTTAAATCTTGTTCCTTCCACTTGACTTTTCTTAATTATATAATCTTGGTAAAATAAAACAAAATAAATTACGACAGTGTCGAGTGGTAAATCATTTTTTTGGCCACTGAAGCATACTTTTTGATTAAAAAATGAAAAATTGATCCGTACTTGTTTTGAAGCAAACTCTCTGGCCCGTTGTTACAGAGTGTTGTAATTACAATAATGAGCTACACTGGGAAGTTAACAGTGACCACCAGAACTGAAGACGACTTCATAGATCATCCAAAATTGGCGTCGCACTTGAACAGTGCCTTTGAGATTATACGCAAAGCAGCTATGGAGATTCCAAGTCATCCCCACCAGCCCTTGAACCAATGCTAGCTATACTATACTACAAGTTCTGGATTTTTAATTGAGAATAAAGCGCGAGGATGACACTGTGAACAATGTCCTCGGAGACGTCCCATAAAATTGGAATGATACAGAGAAGATTAGCATGGTCCAAAAATGATACGCACAAATAGAGAGAATAAAGCACAAGGTTTTTTATGTTTCTCCTCAAAGGAGAAGAAGTCGGGGACACCGTGACATCACCTGACCGAAATTAAGGGCCTGTTTTTTTTTTTTCTTGTTCTTAAAACAATTTTATAAAATTGTTTTTTAGAACAAGTTTTGAAGGGAAAAAACAAAAGAATTTGTTTGGATACTAATTTTAAAAAATCATGTTTTAAAAAAAAACTATGGAAAACTATATTTGGCAGGTGATAGTTGTCGTTACTAATAATAAGTGGTGGATAGTAAGTGAGAAGAGAAGAAGATTTGTCAAAACTTTTCAAAACAAAAAATAAAAAAACACAAAAACAGAAACAAGAAAACATTTAAGAGTTGTTTAGGTTTTTTGGCTTTTAAAAAGCATGTTACTGTTTTTTGTTTTTTAAAACAATCAACTAAAAACAAATTACTAAACAAGTTTTTTTGTTTTTCTGTTTTTAAAAATAAAAACTTGTTTTGAAAACAAGAAACCAAACAAGCCTTAAGCATCTAATGATCTGAGGAGAGTTTCTTACCATCCCATTTGAGTAATTCAACTTCGATGTAGTAAAGTAGTTGGTGTCAAATTTTAATTCGAATGAATGGTTTTTTTTTTTTTTAATATGAAAGTCAAACGCACGATTAAAGTCTATGGGCAATAGAAGAAGCAGATAGAACTGTAAGGGATACACAAGAGTGATAATGAACCAAACCAATGCACCAAGCAAAAGAAGCTGTAAGCTGGCGGATGTCTTGAAACAGAACCCGGTTGGTTTCAACTTTAATGAAAGGCAGCTTAAAATTTTGGAACCAGATTGCACGGTTTCATAAAATTTTCAAGATAAAAATGATAAATCAAATAGAATTGTTGAACAATGTAGGTTAGTATATGTATGTAAAGAATTATAAGCCCTTTAAAGCTTTTGTCCTTAGATATATTTTATTCTCTTTGTTCGCTACTTGATATGAATTAACCCCAATCTTATTTTTTAAGTATAATTTTATTTCTAATCTTTTTAGTGATGTAATTTTGACCCTGATTTTTTTTTTGATGAAAATTGCACCCAAAGATTAGAGGCAAAATTACACCAAAAAAGATTAAAATTGCACAAAAAAAAGATCATGGGCAAAATTATACCTGAAAAATAAGATCAGGGTCCAAATTGCACTACCAAAAGATTATGGGTGAAATTGCACCTGAGAAATAAGATCATGGTCAAAGCTGCACCTTGATCGTATGAATTAATTATTCAAAGCTCTTTGTATTATTCACCCAAAAAAAGATTTTTTTTATTAAACGCTTCATATCAGTATTTTAATTTTGATCAAATTGTATATTCACTTAATTTTCCTTATTTCTAATATATTTGTGTAGTTTTTATAATGAGAAAAATAAATCCAAATTATAAATTCTTTAAGATTTTGGGTTCAGCTGCCAAATAATGCATGAAGGAAATTAAAACACAGATCGCGGAGGAAGCAGAAATACGTGCAAGCTAAGTGGGCATTGCGAGTGTTATAGGTCCCGCTCGCAGGGCCACTGCCAACTAAGGCTGTCTAATCTGATCGTTGCAGCACCCGGGCCATCAATCAAAGGGATGACGTGTTAAACGGCTCAATATTTTTGGGCCGAAAGAAAGGCCCATGTTTTGGGTTAAAAGATTGACCCAATTGAAGCCCACACAAGATCAATGAGCCCAAGTGACTTGTGGGTCTTACTTGCGTAAGAGTTTTGGGTCACATAACTAACAAGTATTGGTCCAAGTGGAAAGGGCTTAGGCACCTTAAACATAATGTCTTGAGTTTGATTCTTAGGGTGGTGTGTATAAAAAATTATTATTGGGAGAAAGTAGGGTGGAAAGGGCTAGCAAACCAAAATTTGACTATTTAATAGGAGAGATACTCACATTTATTACTTAATAATATTTCAAATACAATTATATTCAATAAGATGTCTAGCAAAAAAAAACAAGTTGGGACAAATTAAAGCTCAATTTCATTAGTCTCCTGCCTGCGCCTGTATACTTCAATATCTTCATAACTTTGTCATTTTTTTAATAATTGTTCCTTATTATAATGTTTATTGAAAATAACAACAAATATACTTTAAAACCATGCACATTTTTTAACGGAAAAAGGTAAATCAAAGCCACACCACAAGGTTATGTTTCTCTTGAAGGTTCAGGTTCACGGCTTTTTATGTCTGTGATTAGTCCGTATTGCATTTAAAAATTCCCTAAATTAATTATTTGCAATAATAACTGCAGAGCGCAGACCATTCCGGAGCAGTGCAGTCTATCTAATATAAAACCAAATAAAAATGAAACAAATGAATCTGACCTGACAAATAAATTTTGGCTCAAACTGAAATGAGAGGGGCCTTAAAAAGGATCACGTGTGTGTGCAATACACGACATCGTGGTCAATAATCTCTTTAGATATATCGCAAAGATGAAAGTAATAAAATTAAATAATTGAGGTGTATGTAATGTTGTTAAATGAAATCTTCCACAAAAATGTTTGGTCAGTTCAATACTAAGCTAAATTAGTTGAGGTCCATATAGGCCACATATATGTTAGTTGCACCAAACGAATTACAAGTTGATGGTATGTCATTTGAACTAATTATATGGTATTAAGCCTCACAAAACACCCCAAACATGTTTTCATTTTGTCCTTTAATCCACTAGCAAATCAAGGCAACCCCCTACCTATCATTGTAGGGCCCTCTATTCAATGATATATAAATATAGAGAGAGAGACACACGCATATCTAGCTCGACGAATGCATATCGACGATCTGGCAAAAAAAAAACAAAAAACCTCCCTCTCTAGATTTATATTAGTATTTGAAGAAGATAGTTAATCAATTAATTCAATCAATGGAGATTTTTCATCAGGGAGATTTAGCGGAGCCAGCCAGTCCTACCGAGCAATTCATGGACTGCTCTAATATTCTGTGCTTAAGCGTTATCGTTTTTCTTGAATTTGAAGCTTCCATTGGTGACATGCCCATTTTCTCTCTTGTTCAAGACGTCTTTTTTACCATTCCACGCCTGACCTCTATTATGGTTTTAACTTGCTTCTGCTTTCTTTCTCTTTCTCTCACCATGCTCTCTCTCTCTCTCTCACACACACACAAATTTTCCACCATATATATATGTAGATCTTTTTAATTACTAGTAAAATATATTCCTTATTTGTAATATATATTGTATGATCGTTGCTCAACAACAGGTCAGGGACAACCAAGGAGTGAAAAGATAGAAACGAGTTAAAGTGTCGGAAGAAGATCATGTCACCATACCAAAGCTATTCTCTCCCAACATGTCCACAGAAACGTGTACTAAACGCTTCAACGAGTATTTGTCCAGGATAGCAACGGAGCAACTACCACGTTCAAAACCGTTATGGCAAGTTCATGTCATCAAGAACCCAATAAATTTAAGTTTCACCATTCATTTGGAGATGGCTATACTCTCATGGGTTTCCTTCTCTCTACTTTGAGAAGAGCAGATGACCCCTCTCTCCCTTTGACGTTTCCTTCACTCAAATCATCAAAAACAACACTTGTCCACCAAAGCTCTCTACAGAAACTCCCTAGCTTCGTCTCTTCTGTCTTCTATACTGTCACGGAGTTTGCTAGTAGCTTACTCAGAGCTACTTTGGTTAAAGATGACATAACACCAATCAGGTCAAGAAATAATATAGGAATCGAGTGTCGGCAAGCCGCCATATTCAACATCACTTTTACACTCGAACATATCAAAGAAATCAAGTCCAAGCTGGGTGTGGTAAGTTTTTTTAGCACCTTTATTCTGTTTCGATATTTGCCTTAAATTTCTCAGATTCTTGTTACAATTTACTCACCCCCACCTGAATTTAATTAATTTAATTTGTCTCGTTCGTGGTAGCAAATTCATCGCTGTTTGAACAGGCTGTCAACTATATATATCTCTGCTCAATTAATAATAGCATATGCTTTTATGTGAAGATGTTAATTACTCATATTACAATCCAATACATGCATGTACATCGGGTTCTAAGATATTGGGTGGAAGAATTGCAGTTAGAGACAAGATTTTCCTTAATTTGTCGGTAACTTGTTCTGTTATGGGTGAGATGATTGCCCTTTATTAATATTTAATATTCTCAATCGCATGTCATGTTCCATCATGATCAACATTATATATCTAAACTATAGTTGCAACCTTTTTGTTGCGTTGTGTAGACAGTAAATGATGTGATTACTGGAATAATATTCTACGGGATTCGGTTGTACATGCAAGACATTGACTATGAATCGAGGACAAAAGATTCCACCATAATGACAAATCTCAGTACAAGGGACGCTGAAAGTTACAAGACAACCCATGATATGCACAAGAGTAGGGGGAAGGGCAGTTTGGGAATCCAAGTTATGTTTTCGTATTTACCAATTCCCAAATTAAAAGACACCCTGATTTCTAACCCTCTTCGGTCTGTGTGGGAGGCGCATCGTCAAATGAACCAGAAGAAACGCTCTTTATTAGCTGCTGTTCTCCTTAATAAGCTTCAACAAATTGGTGCAAAAGCCCTGAGGTTGTATCATATATATGTCAAATCTCAATGGTCTATATATATGTTCGTTTCATCCCTTTCTTCATTCTTTTTAGTTTTTGGTTTAAGCTTGTGCACGTAATTCATGTTTCAGGCAGTGGCTAAACTCTTCCATAGGTCAAACAGAAATTCAAGCTTAATTATGCTGACATTATTGGACCAACTGATCAAGGGGGTGTTTGGGAATTAGGAGAAGTGATTTTTAAAAATACTTTTCCACAAATCGAGATAAACTCTTCTACGTATTTACTTCGTATATTGTAAAATCACTTCTGAAACTATGATTTGATTTTCATCCAAACACCAAATAGCCTTTGGAAATTATCCCATAAAAAGCTTCTACTTTACTGTCTGGCCATCCCCAGGCATATGTATCTCTTTGTTTCTTAGTGTATATATCTCAAGGCCACAGGTAATTTACTGGAAGGGATCATATAGATGAAATGGTTTCTCTTTTCAATTTCTTTGCGTTAATGATATGTACTAATTACAAACACAAACATTGTACTAATTATATGTCTCAGTAATGTTGATCGAAATCAAACTCATCGTCGTTAATTAATTGTTGTTGCAGAGTCTTCTGATGACAATAATGAGTTATAATGGGAAGTTAACGGTGACCACAAGAAGTGAGGATGGATTTATAGATAATAAAAAATTAGCGTCCCAGGTGAAAAATGCTTTTGAGATGATACGCAAAGCAGCTATGGAGATTCCCAGCAACTAAAATAACAGTCGCGGCCCCCAATCATCTTTTATCATGTTCTTCTGTCTGTTAGGTCCTTATATGTCCCTGAGTGCTTACGCATTTCATCTTATATCTATATATATTGATATAGTGGTATTATTATTGAGTCAACAAAAATTTTATCAAGCTAAGCTTATTCTCCTCCTTTCTTCTGTTCTCTATATACCAGAACGCGTGCTTCCGTTAGAAGATCATATACTGCCTTTGGTCCTTAATTAATATGAGCTAGTTCGGGATTAATTAGACTGGGTCCTTAATATAAGACCTCAATCTATTTAGTTTCTCTCTTTTTTTCTTTCAAAATATCCCTATTAATTGCAAGTAGTTCCCATTAAGGAATAGTTCTAACAGACGATCAAGACTAGTTTAGAAAAATTAATACACATTTATGTCAAATGACTAATTTAATTAATTTTCTTTCTATCCCAAATTAGTTATCTATCTCTTATATTAAGGACCAAAGGTGTTTTGATGAATTGTGAGAAGAAGACAAATCATCTTGAAAAACACAAAAGCTTTTAAATTTATAAATTAATTGAATTAAAATCTAATAAAAATGTCAAGCGACACAGTAGCTATTAGTTCTCTCTGTTTATTTTTCTTTTTAAGGGGTAAAAAACAACTCAAACACGTACTTTATTTTTGAGAAAGATTCATCATGAATCATGATCCGACCAAATGACGTAAAGTTCAATCTGCATATTCCTAATAAAGCAAGCAACAACATGAATTTTAAGTTCGTAGCAGTCTAGCAGACCATCTAGCTATATCTTACTTACATCAAACAAACATAATTTGAAAAAATGAATAAATTTCTGGCATATACTCCATCAATATTTAATTTAAACCTCATATTTAATTTAATTATCAACGTCCGCAAACCTAGCTATCGCTAGGTATACCGTGTATATGCGTTCGCGTAATGCTCCTCTTCTACATGAATTTTCTTTTCTTTTTATTTATTCTGTTAAAAAAAGCTATAGCGTAATTCTAAGGCTTTAAAATTACTGTAGTACGCGTGATTACCAAAAAAAAAAAAAAAGCTCTGTGTGTGTAACCAATTGTAAGCTTAAGCCATGTTAAGTGATAATTTAACCCTCTCATTGGCCATCGATCACCTTCCATGCACCTTCCACCATTCCACGTACCTACTCAACCATGGATGACTGTAATAAGTGAACATTATGTCGATCTATTTATTATATCTTATTATCTCTTTTCCCTTTTTATCTGCCAATTGTTAGAATTCCATGTTATTATGAAAGCGCATGCATGCCACTCTTTCTAGGAAAATTCCCTTTCTCTATATACATGAAAAAAACCAACTATATTTAGTGTCTATCGTACACGGTTCCTCTTATATATTTTCAATTGCCTTTTCTATCTTCAAAAATCGAAACCTGCAGATTTATAGTCTTGTGGTTGGACACGAAATGAGAAAGAGAGACATGATTCTTGTCCATAATATCGCATGATCTTAATTAAAGTGATCCTTCTACGATCTTGTACTTGTATTTCCATAATTAAATGATGCTTATTGTGGAATTCAATATAATTATATGTGAGATAGATACTAAAAATATTACAACAGACAAAGTGCTTGTCATAATTATCTATGGAAAGAAGCCTTTAAACGGCATTTAATTAATGCTAGGGCTGACTGTTTTCTTCGACTTCTAAATATTACTGCACATAGTCTTAAAAGAATGGGATTAAATTAACATTAAGATATGCTTGAATATGTATAATATGTGTGACTAAGCCTGATCACATTGACAATATCTTAACTGCAAGCTTATAATCCCAATTAAAAAAACAGACAAGATTGTAAGCAAAAAAAGATGGCACCAAAATTTCTTGTTTGGCATGTTTCCACCATGATATATATATATATATATATATATATATTTATATATGATCATCTCTCCAGCTTGCCTACGCGGTTGATGATTTGTTCGTTGATAAGTGGTCTAGTTATAAAATAGCGAGGTAGGCGTGACAGTGAAGTTAATTAGTGGACATTTAAGTCAAAATAATTCTTTTCATTAAATAAATTAATGCATACTGGTATAAAATTTAGACAGAGGTAGAGAAAAGTTAAGGAACGAGTTTAAATAAATAAAATAAATTTCATACATTCAATTTTGTTATCCCGTTCTCTCTCTTGCCATTAGAACGCTAGTACGTGTAAAGTATCCAAATTAAATCTTCAGCAAGTATTATGAGATCAAGAAGATTTTCTTATATCTCACTTTGTTGTCTTCAAGTCATCATTTTACTCTTTGGCTGAGTAAAAGTAGCATAGTTATGAGATAATAAAAATAGAACGAACGAACGAACGAACGTCCATGATTTGCGTTGCCACGACTAAATCATAATTTTCTCCTTATTTTGAAATTATGCTAATTAAAATTCTCATTATTTGTTTTCACTAATTCATTCTTTCAACAATTTTTATGTATTATACATAAAAATTTGAGAATGGGCATGACTGGTCCCAAGACATGGGTATTTCATTGGAAGAATTATAACAGGGTTCCAAAAGAAAATAATAATATAATTACCAGTAAATTTTAATAATAAGTGAGAATTATTATTTCTTGCATTGAAACTTGTTATTACGGGCTCAATTTCATCAAAATTCTCCCTATTTCATTCTCAATTCCCGGAGGATTGATGCGATGGATAAGAAAACTGGAAAAATAGTTGCATCGTGCACTTTATCCTTCAAGTCAAGAGTCAATTTTAACTTGGTGGAGTTAGAATCTATTCAATTACATAATTATTAATTCATAAAGTGCAAAGAAAAAGGAGGCGTGCTTTAATAATTAATTTCGTAGTCAACAGTACTCAACTCCACAACTGGGATATATTTGGTAGGACAATATCTGCAAGCAAGCGGGGAGGATTTCGATCAATATTTTGTTCCATATCCCGTATCCAATCTATTGAATTTTATTACAAAAATTACAAGTAACTTGGCAGCCAATTGGTGAGTCACAAGGTTTTTGGGAGTCAACTTAGATTGCATCATTTTTTTCATCCAAAAATAAAAAAGAAGAAAAAAAATTACTCATAGATCCTAAGTAAAAAAAAAAATCAAATACAAGTATACCCCTTGAATTTCATTCAATAATACTAATAGGTCTCAAATAATTTAATATTTACAAGTCAAATTTAATAATTTAATATGTAAAAATGAACTTAACTTTTCATGTTATTATTAGTAGTGGTGCGTCATTTATACAATTAGTTGAACTTGTAATGATTAAATTCCTTGGAACTTATTAATAATAAATAAAATTCGGAAAATCTATTTGTATTTAACTTTTTTTTACCAAAAATTATAAGTAATTTCTGAAAAAAGAATCATGAGAAAAACATTAAGGTGCAAGCAGGGGTTGTGAGGGTAAGCGAGCTGTCATGAATAGGGAAAGGTAAGAGAGAAAGATACGATTGGGGGGATGAGTGTCAGGGAGGAAATGGAAATAAGAAGGGAAGGAGGAAAGTAATTTCGAGGAAAAGGGGAGGAATTGGTGCAATGGGGTGGTGATAGGACAGTGATTATTATTAGGGCTCACGAATTTATATTTAATTGATGTCAAGTCAGGGTGTAGTGGGAAAGCATGCGAAGCCGCAATCCAAACAGTGGAATTGATGTCATCATCTCATAGTTGACTCATAATGCCTACGACGTCTCCCCCCGAACACTCCCCGCATCTCCCCCTTCTGTCTTTCTACGCACCTTCCCAAATTCTTGACATAAAAATTGGGTGAGAATTATATTAAATGCCCAATTTGGATAATTTATAAATACATCTATCTGTATATTCTTCAACTTATTGGGCATAGCGGCCTACTCCGATTGTGGCAACCATCTAAAATTCAACTGACTTTTCATAATTTTCACACACAAAAAAACTTGATCATAGTCAATTATAAACTCCAAGACTTCATGCACGTATGTGGATAATTCTACTGTCATCTTAAATATTATTTATTCATATAAAATAAAAATATAGTTTACGATATTATTTACATATATTAGATGTGCATTCATACTCATTTTGTCTTGGGATTATATACCTGTTTGGATTAGTTGCTTAGAATTATATATCCATGTGGATTAAGTACATAGAATTGATTTAATGCTATATATAATTTAAATATGCCATATTTATTTTATAAAATATTCCCCCAGTCTTTAATATAAGATATAATTAACTAATTTAAGTAGATGTTAGTTAAATTAGTTAATATGATATTTTTTCTAAAACACTCTAAGCATCTTTTTTAATTCCGTTCATTTCTCTTTTGTTTGAAGAATTAGTTTTAATGCTCATCACAATGATGAAGCTCATCACTGCGATGAAATCTAAACCGTTTAAAATTAGTTTTAATGATATAGATTTAAAATTTTTAACTAGTAATTTTTAAAAAACTTAAGTGAGAAGATTACATTTATTTTGAATTATGTACCTATTAAAATTTTTTTTTACAAAATAAAAATATTAAATATTAAATATCAGCTGTTCATACTAAATTTGAATACTCGAGATTTGATAAGCATCATAGTGCTCATCACTGAGATAAACACTAAAACAGGTTCCTTTACTTAATTAATGTTGAGAGAATATTAGTATAGTTAACTGGGGAAAAAAAAATAAACATGTGAAATATGTTTTACATATAGGACCATTATCAACTCTTTAATTAACTCATATATTAAGAACTACTCCTCTGGTCTTATTTATAAAGTACTTCCAACATATTTCACATGGACCAATAAAAACTTTAAACTGTATTGACTCTTCCTTAAAATATAATAACTTTCCAACTTTACCCTTATTTAATATATACACTTTTAAAAAAAAACCAACTATATTATAATAAATAAAGGGTAAAATAATACATTCACACTAAAACTTTAATGAAGTAACTTATAAATAAGACAAAAAAAAAAATTTCTCTGTCTATCCTGTAAATAGGACTAAAGAAGTAGAAGAGTATATAAGCAATTTTTTAAGCTTATTGCGTCCAAACAACTTGTCAACCACTAGTTGTCATCAGCTACGCTTAAATGTATATTTGTGTCCGTATGTGCGTTGAGCATATTAAATTTAAATAAAAATCCAAACAGCTTCCAAATATGAGGATCGTGTGCATCACGTTTCGAGCCGTTGGTTCAGAGCAGAATTAAAGCCGCGGCCATCTGGAACCCACCCTAAAAGAACATTCGTTGTCTTCAGGCGGCAGGTCAGACGTTGCTTTTAATTAACTTGAGACAAAATACATGCATGTCCTTGCTTCCACAATTCCTTTCGAAGAAGGCGTCTTATAAGGTGCAAAATTAAAGACCAGCCTGGTATATTAAAATATAAGACTGTCCAACTGAAAATATAGTTATATATTTGAAACTTATTGGTTTTATCGTTTTGAAATATTTAAATTCGAAATTTCAACAGTGACCCCAAAAAAAATTGAAAATTTCCACCAATTTTCACATCGGACGAGTGAAATACTATATAATCTGAGTCAGAATGTAACACACACACACACACAACATACTTTAAATTCAACATTTAAAAAATTATGTAAGATGAAACTTGAAACCTCTCACTCGTTATCTGATCTTTCCTGTGAATTACTAAAATTAGTCTCTGCAAATTAGTATCGTAACTGACAAAAAAACCATAACTCTATTCCAGTATTAACATACATGAGATTTAATAGATTTCAAATACTGTCTCATTCTTCAAATTCTAGACGATGCATGAGATCAGAGCCCACATATATATGATTAAACACAAAAATTGTCCAAATGCATTGAATTGGCAAAATTAACTGAATTAAATTTCCCTTTATGGACGGCGATGGATATAGAAGAACGTCAAAATCTTTGAAAATATAGAGTTCCCGAGTTACCATGAACATGGACGCAGAAACTACGCGGAACGATCTTTACAAGATGCGTGTGGATTCAAAACTTTCTCTCCTTCGACGTTTAATTTCAACCCAAAAAATAAAAAAGGAGGAAGAAGAAGAAGAAAATCATTTAAAAAATGCCTTTATGTTTTATGAAATAAAATTTCTCTTATACATTATTTACCCGAGACAGCCCACAATCGCTCACAAAAAGTTAATCCAAACAATTCATATATACACTCATTTATATCAACTCTAAATTCAAATATAAAATCAAATTTCATCCAAACATAGCACTACGTTGACCTCTGGCTCTATGTTTAGTGTCGAGAACAAGAACAGTGCTGACGTCAAAAGTGACACTTACACCGCGGCCTTTTTTTTCTTACTTGCTTTCAAGCACACCCATGGTGACCCACTGCCCACTGTCCCCATCTCAGGTCTCTCTCTACCTGTCTATATAAATCAGATCAGGAACAGAAAACCAAACAGAAGTCGTCCGTTTCCCAGAATTCCAAGTCACGCAATTGTGGGCAAAACTTTGCATGAACATGGATCATCAGCAACGAGTTCAAGCTCCATCGCACACCAAGATCGAAAGAAGGCTCATAGAGAAAAACCGGAGAAACCAGATGAAGATCCTCTACTCCAAACTCAACTCTCTTCTCCCAAACTTCAACCCTAAGGTTCTGATTTCTATTTTCCTCATTCATGGATTCAAGCAGATCTCAGCTTAATTATTATTGTTTTTTTTTTTTTTGCAATTGTATTAACTTGGTCTGATTGTGCAGCAAATGATTCCACTGCCTGATCAGATAGACGAGGCCATAAACTATATAAAGAGTTTAGAGGCAAAGGTGAAGATGGCTCAGGAGAAGAAAGAGAAGTTAATGGGAAAGAAAAGGTCTCATGCTTGTTGCAGCTCCAGTTCTTTTGAGACAAAGAGAAGCCGAAATTCACCCCAAATTCAGATTCACGAAATGGGTTCGTCGCTGGAAGTAGTCCTGATTAATGGTTTGGATAATCAGTTCATTTTCTATGAGATTATTTGCATACTGCACGAAGAGAACGTGGAGGTTGTAAGTGCCAATTCTTCACTCGCCGGAGATTCAATGCTAAACGTTGTGCACGCACAGGTGTGGGTGTGTGTGTTGTACTAATCTTCCTTCACGTGTTTGTAATATATACAGATTTGAATTTAATAACTCAGTTCTGTCTTTGTTAACCAGATTCAGCCATCTCTGTATGAATTCGGAGCTACCAAAGTAACCGAAAGATTGAAAAGGTTTGTGTATGGTTCCGCCAGTGACGTAGAATTACAGCCAGCCGAGCTGCAAGATTACTTCCAAATTGGTACGGATACGTGGGACTTCTAAGTTAAAATACCTTATAATGAGATGACTTTGTAAACGAAGCAGAAGTTATTACATTAGCTCATGAACTTGAGAAAGTTGCGCGATGTTATAATTTCCTGCAAAAACCACATCAACTGCGTCTTCCTTCTTCTTCAGCTTCCTCTTCTAATGTATAATTAGTCTAGCCTAGGGCGACATGGATATCGTCAGTTTTTGAAAGTTTGACTTGATTCAATTTCCTGTTTTAATTTTCTTCTAACAAGACATTATAATTAACTTTTAATTCGAAACGAAAAACCTACCTGGACAATTGGACGTTTAATATGGAAATAGATCTCTCTCTAATCAATACAAGCTAAGGGCTGCACCAGAAACGCTTTAACTGTTATGCCTTAAATTGCTAATAATAGTGTGTGCTAATTAAATTACATCTCTATTAGGAAGCTATTTGCCTTGAAGGAATTAAACTGGCGAACTCTGATTGATATATTATTAAGTTGGAATCAGCAATGTCCCCTGTCCAATCTTGTTGATCATAAACTTCTGAAAAATCTCAAACAGATCAAAGTTTTGGTTTGCTCATGTCAAAGAACATTGCCATATTGTTCAGCTGTGATATACATCTCCCGCGGTTGCGCCTTTTTGGCCATATGAGACATAACCATTATATCACACCAAAATCTATTGGAGATCAGAAGACATATCCTTTGGCTGTATAGTCTCTCACATGCCGTCATTTCTTACTTCTAATTAGGTACAGATCAGAAGGGGGCTAATTAGGGTAACATATTTCCAAAATTTACAAGGGGATAGATCCATAGCCTTATATTATTTAGCTTGCTGTAATGTCAGAACATATAATTTGGGGACACGTAAAGCTGATGACTCATTTTGTGCCAACAACACAATGATATCTAGTGAGTGATTAATTTATGGCCCATGCATAACTAGAGCTCTATGATGCTTTATTGAAAGAAATACCTGCAATATAATGCTGTTAATAAATTAACGGGGATCCATGTTTAATTGCGGTTTTGTGTGGACACGCTTGCATGTGTATGCTGACAGCTAGGTTTTTCTTTTCTATGGCTAACTAATAGCTAGGTATTTAATTTCCATCTCAAGGGCTTATATAGATGTTGCAAGTTGAGCCAGGCAAATATCAGAATGTTGACTATATATTGTGGATGATAGTTTGATTGAGATGCTTCTGTTTCCATTCTGTATAGCTTGAAGAAAACTTTGGGCGCATCGATATCTTCTCTTCCTTCTGTGGTTCGTTTTAATAACTTCGCCTGATAACTAGCTGAACACTTAGAAGTGTTGGTATAATATTATGCTAACACACACAATCACGCACACTCGTACATCTTTGATCTGGCAAATCATGGAACCTGGAGGAATGGCGCTCAACCCTAAATAAATCCTTGAACTCAAGCTGTTTGGATTAGCTTTGGATCGAGAAGTGATTTTGTGCCGTATGAGACAAATGTGTGAAAAGAGTTTTAATTTATCTCATAAAACGTAAAAGTACGTATTTTAATTAAGCTGATCCAAATAGCTTTAATTAGCGTTGTATTTAGTTATTGACTATTTAACTATAAAACCTCACCCTCCGAAGTTACACAGTTGATTTGTTCAATTTTACTTTGGCTTGGCTGCGCCTCAGATTGCTTTGCTGTCTTAAATTAATTTTTTCGGACTCTTGGCATATGGTGTAATCATCTTGTCCAAACTTCAGGCCCTTTCACAGGATTAAAAGGCGAGGCTATACTCTTTCGGTTACCCAATATCATTTATTAGTTGTGCCAAAAGTTCTTAGGGAAAATGATTAAAAAAAAGACCGTGATAACTGTAAAATCCCAAATCAAGTATTTTCATAAAAATATGTTGTTATTTACAAGTCAGATGTTGTCAAAATATGTTAAATTGTTGTAGCGAATTTGAGATTTTGCAATTTTCATATTCTTTATTTATCATTCTACCAAGTTATTATTCTTATATATTAGCCATGTTATGGAATCTTGAGCGTGTCGTCAATTTCGGAGGCGGAAGATTTTTCCAATAACCATACGATTAAAATTAATTACCACTCAATTAATGTTGAAAATTGGGAGGAGGATAGAGACTTTCGTTTCACTCTCTTCTGTTAAATTACATTGTTTAGTTCTCACGCTCATTCAACGTTTTTTTTAATCTCTCAACATTGTTTATTTCTTTCAATAAATCAATTTTATAAAAATAAATAAATTATTGGTTTTGTTTTTACTATACAAATATTTTAAATTATTGATACCTTAATTTTCACTTTTTTCAACCGCACAAAAGAGGCATATAGATTTTATTTAATAAAAATATTATAATAGATATATAAAAGTTTGTTGAAGTCAGTTTTTAGGTCTTATGCATTATTTTTAATATTTTTTTAAAAAATATTAATAATTTTTTTACTCATATTATGCCCTTGCTAACTAGTTTTTCTGAGTCCATCACTTAGAATTATCAATCTAACCCAAAAAAAAAAAGGAGTGGCGGTTATGAACTTCTGATTGCAGTTTTCTGATCAACGCCCTCATAAATGAAAGTTGGACGATGACAGGCGACGGAACATTTTTGTCCTCTGACAAAACAATGTGACTATTAACTATTTTGTTGAAAATAATATATGTAACTTTTTCTTGCCAACGAAAATAATATATAACTACAAATTAATTAAGTGATATAATATGTTGACGAATATCAAAATTGTTCTAAAAATATATGACATGGGCCAGACTCCCAAGCGTCACCAGCAATTTAGCATTTTTTTAAGGGCGATAGCAACGTAACGTACTACAACCCTCTTTTTTCTTTTCTTTTCTTTTTTTTTGAAATCCAGCTCAGATTCAAGCTGGTCTGTCTCCAGACAATACGATGAAGGCTCTCCCGTAAATATAATTGCCAACGGCTTGGATCAGCAGAACATTATGAAATTTAAATTCTCCTATTCATGTTTAGCACTACCTTCGGTCCTTGACACAAAATTTTGTTTAATTTTTATTTTAATCTTAAATATAAAATCTCAATCTATTTTATCTCTCATATTTATCTATTTTTTTCAAAATAATTCTTGTAATAGTTGCACATTTAGATGTTCAATCAAATAATAATTCTAATTATTAATACATATAATTAGTAAGGATATTTTAAGGAAGAAAACACTTAATTATTACAAATAATTAACTCAACAAATTTTTTTAATCTACTCTAATTAGTTAACTATCTCTTATATTAATGATCGGAGGTAGTATCTGATAGTGTTTCAAATAAAATTGCATTCAATAAAAAAATATTTGCACCAAGCCAAAACCAAAAAAAAAAAAACTGAAATTCTTTTTATGTACTGTTAAACCCAACTCTCTCATATAGTCGTATGTTGGAGTGTCAAGGTAACTCACCGGTTGGAAACAGCATGATTTAGGGGGTGTTTAGGTGAAAATAAAACTATGATTTTAAAAGTATTTTTATAATAAACAAAATAAATATGTAAAGAAATTTATCTTAATTTATTAAAAAATATTTTTAAAAAGCATTTTTAGACAAATCCAAATACTCCCTTAATGAAAATGTTTATTCAACAACCAAAAACTGGCAGAAAAGCGGTTGAACATTTATGCACCATGTTCTCGGAAAGCAGTTTTTACGTCTCTTTTTTTTTGGGCCAACATTTACGTCTTACATAGTACTCCTTTTTTAAAACCTGAGCATAATTTTTTTAATGTTTCCGATCTTTTTTTAAAACTAATTATATTTTGGAAATGATTGAATATTTCATATATATTTTAAATTCTTATTACTAGTTGATTATATGTATTTTTTCTTATTTATTTTGGTGGGCCTTTTTTACGAGTTACTCCTCTAGGCTATTTATAGAGCAGAGAGAGAAGTTTTTTTTTTTAGTCATATTTATAAGTCACTTCATTAAATTTTTAGCGTAAATGTATTATATTGTCCTTCATTTATTATGGTGTAGGTATTTATCTCTTTTAAAAAGGTATATATTAAATATGGGTAAAATTAAAAAATTGTTATATTTTAATAGAGAGTTAATGTATTTTAAGATTTTTCTTAGTCTATGTGAAATATACTAGAAGTGTCTTATAAATATGACCAGATGAGTATTTTCTTTTGCATACCTTCCTTATGAACAAGAACATATTTTTTTAAAAAAATAAATTTCTTCCATATTTATGTCTTCAACCAATAGCAGATTTCTACATAATGAATGTCAAGTGTAACATAGATATTTTGTTACATAATTTATATTGTTATAAATTAGTTACATTCTATTATGTAAATACTCTTAGACTCATCTCTGTGTGTGTATACACCTTTTATCAATAATAAGGGTAAGTCATTTTTCCAAAGTTTAGTTTCATGGTATTCTGAGCCAGTACCAAGTCCTCTTTTGTCTTTTTTGTTGCACTTTTCTCTTTCTGTTCTTCCTTGGGTTCTCTGTTTCTTGATCTTTCCACCATCATTCTTCCCAAGCTCCTTTCATGGCGTCTGACTTTGATTCTTCCATTGACCAATCGAGCCCCTTCTACATTCACTCGAATGAAAATCCAGCTCTCATTCTCGTCTCTCCTCCACTTGATGGCTCAAATTATCACGGATGGGCCTGCACCATGAAAATGGCTTTACTATCAAAGAATAAGTTGAAATTTGTTGATGGATCGATTACTCGTCCCACGGCCTCTAATAAACTATTTCTAGCATGGGAACAATGCAACAACCTTATTCAAGGGTGGCTAACGAAGTCCCTTTCTCCCATGATCATTGCTAGGAGCACTCTTTGATTCGATATAGTTGCTGAGATTTAGACTGACTTGAAGTCTAGATACACTCAATCTGATATTTTTCAAATTGCAGAGCTTCAAGAAGAAATTTTCAGTCTCAAACAAGGCAACCTTACTGTAAGTGAGTACTATATATACTTTGCCTAAAGACTCTCTGGGACAAATTATCTAATATTTGGTTGATTGAGTCCTGTACTTGTGGCGTGGGTAACAGTGCTAAAACTCACTGGGAATAGGATTATATAACCCCATTCTTGAAAGGACTCAATGGGCAATACGGTAGTGTACAATCACAGATTATGCTCCTCAATCCACTTCCTTCCATCAATCGAGTATTCTCCTTAGTTCTTTAGCAAGAAAGAGAAATTCATCCCTCTGTATCGATGCGTGTTGACTCCAAGATTTTGCTAGCCAAAGCTCCAAACTGACCGCCGATTAAGTCTACTGATGGATCTTTAAAGCGGTGCTCCTACTATGGGAAACCAAGACATATGGAAGAGATGTGCTATAGGAAACATGGTTTTCCTCTGGGCTTCAAAGTTCCAATCTGGTTCTCCTGTTTTGGTGAATAATTTTTCATCTCAAGATTCTAGTAATGTTCAATTGAAGACAATTATATTTGAGATACTATGGAGTATTAAATGTGAGCACCTTTTTTAACATGATTTAAAATTTGGTTTGTCACATTATAAGGTATTAGTTCCTTCTGCTAGACTCAATTCTTATTGATACATAATTTTGTAGCTTATAAATACGGCAGATTATGATTTTCAGCAGACCCTCATTCACTTTTACGCGTGTGGATATCATACATAAATTTAAGTGTCATTGTAAAGTTTTTCTGTTGGCCTGAGGTCATTGTAAAGTTCCAACCCGGCCTT